TTTTTTTTTTTTTTTTTTTCAGGGAGGGGTTTTGTTTAAGCAAGCAACAATTTTCAATTTAATTATTAAATCCTGCGTGATGAATCTATATAACACGAATCTATACATTAAAAATTGACATCGCGTGCAATATTACAATCTGTGTGCGTGTGACAGGAAATGTCAGTCTTGAAAAGAAAACAATGCGAAGAAATAAGCAAAGAGAAATTAGTGTCTCCTTTATGCCCCGTTTTTTATCTAAATTCTGGGAACTGAATCCAGAAAACTACATATAATACGAAATAAACATTTGACTTCTCTCAGGTGTTTTTACTGTCGTTTTAGTGTAAACCAGCAAATTTTGAAAGCGCGCGCCAAATAGAGTTCGGTATAGAGCAGAGTTACGTTCACCACTGAAAAGCAAAGATGGAAGACAGAGAGAAGGGAGAGTGTAAAACAATCCGAAGAGCAGTCAGCGCACATTAACTCACCCTGATAAGGCATTGGAAACAGTATTGAATACAGCACCTGTCTACGCGAGTCTGTGAGAACTCCGTGCTCATGAACAAAACAAGATCACGACAAATATAAATCGTGTGATCAACGTCCTGGAGTGGACAGGCATCTCTAGCGTGCTAATTTACACCGGCACTGCTCACCAAGGCACGCTTACTAATCTACCTTGTCAGTCTTGTCAGCTACACTCACAGAGAGTTTGCTTGGCCGGAGAGCTGCAATCTTGGTAGAGTAAAATAAGAAATAAAACCACCCTTCCTCCCGAATCAATGATGACGTTGATGACTCGGCGCTAAACCCAAAACGCGCCACTTTTTTTTTTAATGGGGGGAGGGGTGGTATTAATTTTTCATTTTAATTGTCCAAGATTGTGGCTACTATCCTACGAGTAGGTTCTATTCTTTAAGATTCTGCATGAGCGGCAACGCAAAGCTGTCGGTCGTCTAGCAGTTCGATGGAAAAGAGAAAGGGAAGCTATAAAAATCGCCTGACGATGGCATGGAAATTAACCGATATCCGCGAAACTGCACTACTAGGCTGCATTGCATGATGGGACTACTTCCGACGATAATCGAGTGAGCCCCGACTTACCGCGAAGTATAATCTGATGAGAAAATTAATCGCCGGTCTCTTCACGGGTCGAACTGAGTCGAAACTGTGATACAAAGGAAATTGCTACTAAGAAAAAGTCGTTGTAAATTTATTGCTTTTTCATATCTAATAGGTCATAATCTCAGAATTATTCCCATGACATGAAAATTTAACAGATCCATGTAGACGTAAACAAGCGTTTCACACCGCATTCGTACTAATTTTTCGTGCTAACAATTTGCATTTTCCGCAACAAGAAACGTCGTAGAGCTCTGTTTTACTGCGCGCTGATTGGTCGATACTTAGACCCCCTGTGACCAAATGGAACGCCGCTCGAGTCTGACAACACACGCTTCATCCTACTCTTCCAATATGGCGAACCCAAGGAAATTTGCCGAGAAAATCGCGCTGCATACTCAAAAACAGGAGGAGGAAACGCGTGCTTTCGAACAGATAATGAAAGAGGTGTCCATGCTCGAGGTATTTGTTATTTTCTTTATTAGGAAATAATTTTCTGGGTCTGGTTTGTTGCTCGTTGTTGACATGTCAGTCCACAGCTGAATGTAGATTTCTCCTCTGTTTGCAAGACGACCAGAAAGCCCCAACATCAGCAAATACAGTCACACTACCGTGGTGGATCACTGCCGAATGTGAACTTCAGCCTACACGCACAGAACCGCCTTGATTTACAGGTCATTTATTGTTTTGCACTTTCTGATTGTGATTTTCTGCTGTGGGATTATGTACATTTCTTTGCATTTTGTTTTGAAGGTTCGAGTCTGATAGAGTGATACTGCTTTCGATCTACAGAATGCGTTAAATAATCTGGATGATCTCAAAGTGATGCACAATGTTGGTGATCGAATGCCTATGAGGGACAGACGATTTCCAGGCAGCCGAACAGTTCCATTTAACACGAACAATCGTTTTCGGACAATATCCTTCTTATACTCTAACAAGAGTTTTTCACCACAAGCTTAGTCAAAGTAAAAGGACTTTGAGAAGCAGATGTCACGATATGATTTGTAGATATTACAAATTATAACTTTGTCAGTACTTAGCTTACCTATTTCCCTATAGCTTGTTTCTTTATCTTTGAAACCTTGATTTGTTTGAAATTAAATAAGTGTTCCGCGTAACTGTTAAATAAATGTGTAGATCTTAGCGATGTGGAAAGGGAAAAGTTACAGTATACGTTGCCATGAACCAGTTTAGTCCACGACAGAGTTAATAAGTTGATTTCTCACAGATTTATCTAGCCTTAACCTTGATTACATAGACCCATCGCCTTACCATGTCTCTGGCTGCCATTTGTCACCTCCACAACATATGGATCAAGGATGGGGAGAACGAAGGTATTAAAATCTAGTTTATTCTTGTGTATAATGATAGCTAGTGAGGTAGTAAGTAGCAGTCTCGCATTCTACGTCTATTAAGTTTTACTTATGATTTCGGGTTCCGTTCTGTTCTTTTGAAAACGCTGATGTCGTTTTCAGCTATGTAGTTCGTGGCAGCAGATGTATTTTTATTTCGAACGGTTCGATTTTTGTTTGTGTAGCGAAAGGCTCGTTGTGGTTGATGGGTGAATTGACCCTTGGTTTCCCGCGCAAATTTATCCTCGACACAAAATGAAAATTTCTGAGCAGTCTACCTGTTCAGTGACTAGTGATTTATGTCTTCATTACTGTAAACAGGCTCGCGATTTTCGATCTTCGATAAGATCTCGTTGGGATTTGATGTTCACCTGTTGGTTCTGTTTGCGTTGCTGAAAGTGTGTACAACACTATCACGATTGAGAACTACACCAAGCTATCGATTAGAAGTCACTTTCGAAATTTCACGAGGTTCCGTAACTTCGGGATATGTGGATGATCCTAGCAGCTGATCCACTTTTTTTTCCGATTTGTGGGTCGTGTTAATTAAGTGATTGTTAGAGAACTATATATATGTTCAAATAGAGATTAATTTCATGTTCGTATTATTTGCATGTATGAGAAACACATTCTAAATAGTTTATTTAGCAAGAGATTCACAAACACTTAGCTGTCTCTGTGTGTTCATGATGAAGTTTTCCTTCAGTGTTCTTAGTGCTAGTGTTAAATTTGACTGATTGATTCTGTTCAGTTCTTAACTCAATTGTTGTCAAACATGAGGTCTGACCGTAAAGCAACCTTTTAGGTCCAGTTGAATGATCAAACATTTTTACTCAACATGTCGTGACCTTGCCAAATGATCCAACCATGTTCTTTACGTAGAACTTTGGTTGAAAATATATTATCTAGGAATGGCTAAATGATCAGACATGTTCATCCAACACAGCATTTGGATGAAAATTGATGTTTGATGGCTTAGAGCTGGTGCATTTGATGGGTGAACAAGTTCAAGGCCAACTTGTCAACCTTAGTGTGTGCTCAGGACTATTACATGTTACACCAATCTTGCTCCTAGAGGGTCTGCTTGTAGTTGTCAGTGATAAGTAAGGAGTAAGGGGTCTGGGGATGAGACTGGTTTGTAAGCAGAACCTTCTTTTGTCCCAGAGCTGCCTGTCCTTCTTAGGTGTCTTCTTAGCCAGTAGGACCTTGGCATAAGAAGAGCTGGCTCTGATCTGGATAAACATGATTTGACTGGCTAGACTCTTGAACAAAGATTTTCACCACATCAATGCTGCTTGCCTTCCCGAAAATATCCACTGGTTGATCTCTAGGTACAGTTGAACCCGGCTAATTTGAACTTGGTTATTTCAAATTCCCCGTTATTTGGAACTAAAAATAATTTTCCTAGGATTCACCCTTCAGTCATTTACTATTCAGCAAATTTCAAACTCCAGCTATTTCAAACTATTTTTCATTTGCCCTGGGAGTTGGAAAGAGTGGGGTTCAACTGTAAAACCATTTGGTTACACCACCTACAGACCAATTAAAAGATCAGTAAAATTCTGGCTAGGAGTGGCATTCATATGTTTTGTTATGAAGGACTTCGCTGAAAATTTTCAGTGAGAGCCAGTTTCAAACTTCTGAAGGTCTGTGGGTGCTGTATTTGTATGTACTTGTAAATGATGAACCGAACTAACCAAAAACATGTTAAAAACTATTTTGAAACTGACCTAAAAGAATGAAGTTGATCTTATACAAAAACTGTTAAAAACTAAATTTTCAGTAACCCTCTGTTTTCTTTGTCAGACTTGAATCAGTGTCAGTGTCGCAACAGAAGGCTGCTAAGAAATTATTTGTTTTTAACAAAAATTTTTATAAGATCAGTTTTATTTACTTTTTTAGATCAGTTTAAAAGTACTTTTTAATATGCTCAACACTGATCACCCAAATAACATTACCAGAAACAGTTGATCCCAATGTTATCCACCATTTCAACCAAAAATGGTGGGAAAAAGTCATGTGAAGTACAATTTCAACCAAGTCAAACTCTGGTTAAAAGTGTTGGTTCCAGTAGAACACAACCTTATAGCACCAGTGTTTGTTTTTACCAACATTAGCTCTCAGGAATTGCCTCCTAAGACAAAGAAACTTGAATGACAGCAAAACATTCTTAACAGGCACTTGATTACAAGTGCATTGTATTCTTTTGTTGTCACAATTGCCTAAGTCAGACCAAGAAGTCACAATAACTTAAGTGATTTGATCTAACAAATATGCAAACCTTTTTCTCAATGTAGAATTGCATCAGATTCTGCTCTTCATGACAGTGTAATGCGTGCAGAAGTGAAACCAAAAGGTAACCCAATGTTTTGTGTATTAACAATAATAATATTCTCTACAGACCATTATGTGTGGGGAACCAGGGGCAGATCTAGGGGGGGGGGGGANATCTAGGGGGAGGGTGCCGGGGGTGCACACCCCCTGAGATGAAGCCTTCTTCCTGGTATTCGCTTTCAAAATTTGTTTACTCCACCAGTCAGTTACGCCATTCCTTAGTGGTGCACCCCCTCTTAAGAAAAATCCTGGACCCGTCTCTGGGAACAGTCTGTAGAGATTGGCAGTGATAAATCACGTCACAAATTGTCATTGTTTCAAACCAATGCACTTAGCCACCCATTTCGTATGGCCAGTTTCTACAGTAATTGAAATGACACAACTAAAGTAGTGACTTGTTCACTGTAGTTTGCTTCTTAATAATATTGTGCTAATCAGGCAGTAAAAATGGTGAAGAAAACTGTAAAATGTGAAAATAATAGTAATAGTAATAATAGTAATAATAATAATAATAATAATAATGATAATAATAAAATGTAATAAAGTGAAATACATTAGATAAATCAGTTCAAAGTGTTTAAATAAATGAATGTGTAAACCCCACACTAACAGAGTGGCCTAATAGTAAGTACACGATTCTGGATTAAGCAGTCCAGGTGTGAGCCCTGATCAGGCCATTGTGTTACATGTGTTTGAGCAAGACACTGTACTCTTTCAGTGCCTCTCTCTATCCAGATGTGTAAATGGGTACCACGAAATTTAATGCTGGGGGTAACCCTGTGATGGACTAGCATCCCATCCAGGGGAAAGTAGAAATACTCCTAGTCACCCTAATGCTCAGAGTTTCGGCAGTATGCAACACCTGTCCTAAGGCAGATTTTACCTTATCTTAACTTACCTCTCAATTAACTTGAGTACAGAGCTGGGAAAAAACCTGGCCTAGAATTTGATTGTACAGTACATCATGTGAATTCTAAGGTATTCAGGGGAAAATTAAGAAAGTAAAATTGGTAGTTTCTGTCTTGAGAGAGGAATAACAGTAGTTATCTATATACATGTAATGTACAATGTAGTAGCCGTGGCATGGTCTATTGGAAATCCACCAGTCTGGTTGTTTCCTTCTTGTTGTAAATAGTCAATTTGGCTGTGCCTTGTTTACCATTCACGTCTAGCCTAACCTGTGGGCTTATTGTCCAACTGTGAATTATTTGTGAATGTATGCATCACAGTTGTTACTGCGTCACCAATCTCATAGTATAACATGATACATTGTAAACTGTATTGAGCTTATGTGTGGCTTAAACCTTTAACCTTTATTTTCTTTTAGAAAAAACATTGCCATCGTATGAAGTGAGAAAGGTGAGATAAATTATATGATTTAGGGGACTGCGGAATGTGTTACGGGTATGCACGTGAAATTAAAGTTTGAAATACTGTCACTTACATCTAAACGTTAAAATTGTGATGCTGAAACATGCCCCGATTGGGTGCAAGCATTTCTTGCTCCTGCCAATATCTCATGGTTGTATTTGAAGTAAAACCGCTTTCGCAAAAGGTGTATGCATATTGACACAGGTCATGGTCAATTTCTCTGAGGAAGTCTTCAATGTCCAATCTTTCTGCCATTTTGTGTGCTGAACTGTGAGTGTGAAAGCTCGCACCATGGTCTGCTAAACTTCAAATGTTTGATGACCAATCATGCCACGTTTGACACCTATTTAGAGCATGTCTCAGCGTCATGTGTTCACGCTTAGATGCAAGCAACGGTATATGTCTTGTAAAGAACAAGAATCTAAAAGATTGTTTCCTTAATTATTTAGATTTTTTTCCCAGATTTTTTTTTTCCGGTGACAATTAATATAACTACCAGAAGGTATTGGACAATAAATGCTACAAGATCTGATGACTTAATCAGGTTACAGGAAAAAAAATGGTCAAAACATATTTAACTTTGCGGCAAAAAAATCACCTTTCATTTACACAGTACCAATATAAAGGAGTATATTTTTCAAATTCTGATATTTGTGCATCACAAGAATCAAGTATGCTTTACCTTGTCTAATTTAAAAGGAAAACTGAATAGGAGAATAAACATTTCTTAAATTTATTACCTTTATTTGCAATGTTAATTCTCCATGATGTAGAAAACTATAGCTGTAGCCATGATAAATAATAAATATGATCTACCAAACAAGCCCATTTAGTCACTGCAGGGAAGAAATATTGATTGGAGATTTAGGAAGGTACCACCAGAATTGCTTCCCAGGGGCACAATCTGTTTGCTAAACTTTCAATTAAAGTTTTATATCTCCATTTTGACTTTTTGAAAAGCCCACCTGTGTGCATAAAACAAATTGATCATAAAGTGCAGTGTAGTAGAATTTATCAGATCCATTAGCACATTTCACATGTTTCTCTACAAAAAAAAAGAATACAAAATATGGATTTTTGCAAAATCAGTGGGAAGCATTTTATTTAACATGCAGACTGTAATTTTAGTTTTAGAGTGCTAAATAATCTAATTGTTTCAATAGCAATGTCATATTTTATGTGGGAATCATTAAGTTTTGTGTCCCATATTCTTCATTCTATAAGCTTAAAATTGTGTGTTTACGGAAGTATTTGCATCCGGCTATGCAAAGTCAATTATCAATTTATGTTTCAGTCAGGTTTTAGAAAATAATAATTATAGTATGACTACTTGATCTGGACCAACTAGAAGGAAACTGACCTATCAAAACGTAATTGAGAACAGTGCAGTGAGAAATGATTTTTGTAAACAGACCAATGATGTTGAAGCATCTAGACAATAGTTCTAGAACAAAATTTAAAACCAAGTGAAGGCAAATGAGTGTCTGTTAGACTTGAATTTATATGCTGTTGAGCTCTCTATTCTGTGTGAGCTCTGCAGATCCCATTCTTGATGCGAGTTCAGTGTTTTCCATAAGCACCATCAACTGATGAAAAGCACTGCTACATAATCCTTTGCACGCTGTCTACTCAAGATGTGAAGTGTGCATAAGAAACAATGTTAACATTTTCCTGGTTTTTTTTTCTTTTCTTTTTTTTGGGGGGGGTTGGGGGTGGGGGGGAGTTCTGAATGCCTAGTGCCAGAGCTACAACAAATCATTCTCACTTACTTCAAATTTTTGGCAGAACCCTGGAAGTTGTTCTAATATTTTAACTGAAAAGTCTAGCTTGAAAACTCTCTTTGTGATGGCCAAACCAAAACAATTTAAAATTGCTTAAAATGTGAATTAAAACAACATTGTTTCCTTTAATCAAAGGGTGACAAAGTTTCCTTAGAGATTAATTTTGGTTAACTTTGATCCATGTGGCGTGCTTCAAGTAATTGAACTGATTAGTTCTATGACAGTTTCTATTGTCTATTGTAATGCAAGCCTATATGTAAGATATCTACTCACCAATATTTTTATTGTACAGGTTCGTAGTCCTCAATCAAGACCGAAGTCATGTGAAGTCTCTGGAATGTAAGACTTTAAGCTGTTGTTTTGGTTTTCTCTTGCCTGTAGATAACAGTGACTCATCGAATGACAATTTTTATTAATATCAGGGGTGGCAAATTACTCCTTAAATTTTGGGCAAAATCTCATTAATTTATTATTTCACATGTGAAATTACCAAATTGCCATGGCAACATTGGGCATGAAATTTTTCGATACAGTAGACAAGTGAAAAATCCAGGATTGTCAATGTGATTTGTCACCCATGATATTGGAAGGTAATCAAATGGTGTACTTGTAAAAATAAGGAATAATTTCACTTGCGTTTTGTCAAAATTCTAATAATTTCCGTTGATTAAAGGCTTGGTAAATTATTAGAATTTTGACAAAACATGCGTGAAATCACTTGTCACCATTTGTATATGTACATATTTAGTATTTATTAATCAATTAAAAATTATGCATATCCAACCTGCAAATGTACATGTAGTAATTTAGCAATCATGTATTCAGAATGAGTGAAAAAGTTTTGCATTTTGTCACTGTGGACATCACATAAGGATTTTTTATTTGAAAATATGAAATGTTGCTTTTAATGAAATAATCTTGTCACAAACTTGAAGCTGTATCTAGTTGGTCTTAGGTTCGAAATTAAACCAGATATATATCACTTGACATATGCATCATGATTAAAATTGTTTCATTTTGTGATGTTGATTGACAGGATGTACCCATCAGCAGAACACATGTCACAGACAGGACCCAACTTGCCAATAGCCGCTGCCAATACTGGTGGTTCTCTTCCAGATCTTACAAACCTGCATATTCCGTCTCCACTACAAACACCCATCGATACTGATGAACAAGTAAATCAGGTGTTGTCACCTACCCAGCCTTTTCCAGTGTCGCAAACAAGACAGAGTCCTGTTCGACGGCAACAAGGCAATCAACAGCAGTTAAGAAAGCCACAATACACAAACCAAGTCCCACTTATGGATGTAAATCTCACACCACTTGAAAACAGATTGCAACAATTCCAGTTGTATCCACAGGGAAATATTCCAAATAACGATTTCAGCTCACATGGTAGCTCACCCATTACAACAAGTGCATCACCTACTCTTTCTCCCACATCATCGTCACCAGTGACACCCCTTTTTGGTAACTTACCAACCAGTCCATTGTCATCATTTAATCCAGAGCTCTACTTTAAACAGCAACAGCAACAGCAGCAGCAAACACAACAGGCAAGCACGCTAGCATTACAACAACAACTTGAACAATTTTCAGTGCATCGTCCAATGGCAGTAGGAGGGATGTTGAATTCTTCAATGCAACTTCCCTTCCAAACTTTGCTAGCACAAACACCAACAACGATGCCAGGGCAAGGAATGCCTAGCTTAGGGCATTTTTATGGGCCGGGTCATTCACGGGTACCAGATTTAATTGTAACTGGAATAGATGATGATGGAGCAAGATCAGACTTTGCTAAAGATCTTAGTACAGCCATGGCCCATATTGGAGGAGATGATACTGGTGAAATGTACTCATCTGATGAGGTTGTGCTTGATCCATTAGATGTAGAAGGCTTTCAGATGTTATCTGGTCAGGATTCAGAGCTCACTGATGCTGCAACAGAAGATCAGTTTCGCCTTGACCGCCTGGGGTAAGTTAAAGGTGTTTTCAGTTTCTCTCTCTTGGCGTAGTGGGAATGACATGCAGCAACAGTGTTCAAATGAACCAGCAGCTCATCAGCCCCATTCTTGTTGTCTGTAAAAGGTTCTGAACTGAGCTGTCTTTCAAGGTGTTACTACTTTTGCCTTTCACTCTGTATTTTCCCCATTAACCTCTTAGCATCTTATTGGTTGAATTGGATTAACAAAAAAAAAACAGCTTTAGTATGAAATTTTTTTTACATGAATATCAGACTTCCCCTTGTAATGAGGAACACCCATTCACAGACTATTAAATATGATTGTGCACACCACTTAATTGTTCTGTCTTATTCTTGATTTTCAGATCTGCACGATTACACTGAATAATGAAAAATATACTTCTTAAAGAAAGATGCTGTATTTCCTTCACTAACCACTGGAGATCTTTCAAAAAGAATGCTTTAACTTTCCTTGTGGAATTGCTGTATAAATGCAATATTATTGTGATGACCTGTTTTTATCCCGCGGGTAACTTATTTTTGAATGCATCGTAATTAATTGATTAATTAATTAAATGTTATGATAGGTAATGTAAATTAGGTTTTAGTATTTTATTAAGGGTTACAGGCAAAAAGTAATAAGATTGTTCTTCCCAAGGTAACCCTTTTGTATCCATAATTATCACAGCGTGTATCATAGAGTATGGTTTCGTGTGTAAATAGAATTTCTCTCTCCTGTAGACAATAATTGCCAATATTATTGGCAATTGTGCAGTATAATTATTATGTAATAATTATGTAATAATGTAAATGTGTAACACTGTGGTGAACAAGGAACATTTTTTACTGCATAGCTTCAGTTTCACCAGAGGCATATTATAGCAAAGGACAGAAAAACAAGCAATATTGATTATTTGTTCAATTCCTTTTAACTTTTTCACCTAATTAACTATGTTTCCAGTCAAATTTTCAGCTAAGAGGGTTTTTGCAGACGTACACAGGAACATGCCATACAGATACCAGACAGTCCAAGGCAAGATAGCTGAATCAGTTATGTTATACAATATGCCCCAGTACAGACTCATGACCACTGTGAAGTTCATTTTAAGAATATATCATCTATACTGAAAGTTAAAACCCAAGCGGGATATCTTGACTAGCAAATAGTAGTGTGGGGCTGGAAGAGGCTCATCAAATAGAAATTGTGTCAGTGAAAGTTCAGTACGTTGTGATCTGGTGGCTAAATATACAAAAGAAAGAAATGCCTTTGTCTTATTTTGATGACTATTTCTACAAACTTATTTTCTCAGCAGCTCACATAATGTACTTATACCAGCATTGATCGCTCATCACCAAGGCTGTGGTCTTAGAAAAATTAAGAGGAACCCAAAGGTTCCCAACCATGAAATCCTGGGTGTCCAGCAGTTAAGGCCATATCAAAAAAGTGAGTTTTTCCAGTCACCCAAAGGCCAAAGTTAGTTACCTGTGGCACCTGGGCGCTTCTAGAGCACAGCGCTGCTCTTTGTGATATATGTGTGCAGGTGGATTCACAAACTTACTAGTATCATGATGTTTGTCGATTCAGGCTGGAAGCTGTCTATCCTTATCTTTCACCATAACAGTTGTGGGCCAATCAAACGTATTTCGGAGCTCATCCGATTTGTCGATTCAGGCTGGAAGCTGTCTATCCTTATCTTTCACCATAACAGTTGTGGGCCAATCAAACGTATTTCGGAGCTCATCCGAAAAATAACCAGGCGCTGAAAATTGGGCAGGTGGGCTTCTAAATCATATGAGTGACGTGACTAAGTGAACCACCTTACTCATTGCACCGATTTCCCAATAGGCAGTCTCTAATACAACTTTCCCTGTATGCAATATTTAACGGTTCAGCAAAATCATTAGGGGAAATTCACGTTAAGACGAAATCCGATAGAAAATCGAGCAATTTCAGGTTTTAGTGGACAAAAATCTGGTACCAGAATANGTATGCAATATTTAACGGTTCAGCAAAATCATTAGGGGAAATTCACGTTAAGACGAAATCCGATAGAAAATCGAGCAATTTCAGGTTTTAGTGGACAAAAATCTGGTACCAGAATAATTTCCAGTATTTTACAGTCATTTTTACATTTTCTTAAAGCTAAATACACATATAATTGCCTGAAGTAACACCGAAAACAATTTCCCACGGGAACGAGAGAAATTAAATTTCAAAGTTCAGAGAACTTGTGCAAACACAGGCAAAATTTCATCATCAGTTTCATTTTACCAGTACTTTCAAGTGTTTCATACGAAGTTCAACATTCGTTTTCCACATTTGGTGTTTCTAGAAATGATTTTTTTAGAAGATATTTAAAACAGTCGTACAGAAGTTTGCAATACGATGTAAATAATCTTGGTACTAGATTTGTGTCCACCTGTTACTTGAACTTCTGGTGGATTCCGTCTTAACACTTGGTTCTGAGCATGCATGTAGCTCACTACACGAATTTCACCAATTTTTGAGGTCATAGTTGATCTGTTTATTTAATAGAAGGGGCTACCAATAAAAGGGATTGTTAAGAGAATTTGCAAGGAAAAACGTTTTAGAGTGATCAGTGATTAAATTTGTGGGTTAATAATAAGTTAAGACCAAAATGACCGATAAGGGCGTGGTTTTCACCGCGCTCTTTACTTGGACTAGCAAGCTAGGATAAGACACCTACATATTCTATTCTGCTCAAAGATGCATTCTCAGAGAAGCAACGTGCCACAACAGATTAAACCTATTGATTCTTGACATAGTTGCCAAGTTAAATGAAAGTATTGATTTCTACTGGTCCTTGTTAGTCCTCTTGAGTAGCAATAGCCATCGTCAAACCAATCTTGTAAATGTCAGCGAAGTATTCGCCTGTGTAGTAATTGGCAATAATAATAACAACAACGGTTTTAGGCCCACAATATCCGTGGAAAAGGCGATGTGTGTAAACCTAACAATAATATAAAAAATGATATGGCCAAAGGAAGGGAAGATTACAATTGGACTCTTTCAACAGCTTAAATCGAGGCAAACAGTCCAACGGTCAATCAAAACACCAATTATATTGGATTTGCTTTTTAAACAATTCCTCGTCGATTTGGATATCACCGCCAACAACTTAGGGCGCAGGGAAAGCTGGTAGGTTTTCAGTTGGATCTGGAATTCTATTATCTTGTGATAGATGGAAAAGATTTGACTTGGAGATACATCGTGTTCGGTCATCAGTAAATATAATGTCACAGCTTCAAATAATAAATGTTCATCTTCCAACCAAGTTTGAGTTTTTGGCTCTTCGGCTTTCTTTTCTATGTAGCCTCGATCTGTTTGGCCGACATTTTGCTGAAAGTCTTGCTTTGCTCTCTTTCTGGGAAGTGGTTCCAAATTGTCTGTGTCTCGCACGTTCCTACCAAACGGATTGGTACACGAACGGCAACCGCAAAAATCGTTGCAACAATTGAAACGCTCGAAAACATGGACAGCGGGACTTATATGTTTTACAGAATTCGTTTTCCCTTGCCTTTCTCACTGTTCCGCGACCACAAGAGCATTTCGTTTTATAGTTTTCTTCTGATTTCGTGGAAGAGTTTGATGCGGCTGGTGGCACATCTGTTAAGTGGACACTTGGTTCAAGGCTGACGGTACCTGAGTCTGCAGTCGTTTCCTCGACGACTAAGTTGTAGTGTCCACTGCCTCTGTGATCATAGGCTAGAAAGAGGGGGACTTCACACAATACGCGACCTCTGGGAATTACGTGAGTAACAGGGTAATTTTCCATGGAGGTGAAAATTACAATAGGCATTTGTAAAATGTTACTCATCGCCAGTGGAATACAGTTACCCAACTCCGAATCGTAAAATCCGGGCTCTTGGAACTTTTGGGCTTCTTTCTCATAAAAATCAGTTGATGTCACAAGAAATGGCTCGTAAACATGCCGATTTTGCCCGAAAAACTCGTCCTCCACGATTAGCCTCCGCAGAACGATTACCTTCTCGTTTTCAGGCATGTCTCTGCTGAGCCCAATCGATTTCAAATGAGACTCGATGTCGGAGTTCTCTGCTATTGATGTAAACGTCAAAGATTCAGAGATAGAGTGAAAAAAAACAGTCTGCGTCCCCTGGCATCGGCGACAGAGCTGTTCCTCTGTGCGTACTCTTCCTCTGTTCCTCTGTGCCTACTGTTCCTCTGTTCGTACTGTTCCTCTGTTCCTACTGTTCCCCTGTTCCTCTGTCCTTACTGTTCCTCTGTTCCCCTGTTCCTTTGATCCTACTGTTCCTCTGTTCCTCTTTGCTTACTGTTCCTCTGTTCCTCTGTGCCTACTGTTCCTCTGTTCCTACTGTTCCTCTGTGCCTAATGTTCCCATGTTCTTCTGTGCCTACTCTTCTTCTGTTCCTCTGTGCCTACTGTTCACCTGTTTCTCTGTGCCTACTGTTCCTCTGTTCCTACTGATGCTCTGTTCCTCTGTTCCTACTGATGCTCTGTTCCTCTGTGTCTACTGTTCCCCTGTTCCTCTGATCCTACTGTTCCTCCGCTCCTCCTTGCTTACTGTTCCTCTGTTCCTCTGTGCTGTTCCCGCTGTTCCCGCTGTTCCTGCTGTTCCTACTGTTCCCCTGTTCCTACTGTTCCTCTGTTCCTCTGTGCCTACTGTTCCTCTGTGCCTACTGTTCCCCTGTTCCTCTAATCCGACTGTTCCTCTGTTCCTCTTTGCTTACTGTTCCTCTGTTCCTCTGTGCCTACTGTTCCTCTGTTCCTCTGTGCCTACTGTTCCTCTGTTCCTCTGTGCCTACTGTTCCTCTGTTCCTCTAATCCTACTGTTCCTCTGTTCCTCTGTTCCTCTTTGCTTACTGTTCCTCTGTTCCTCTGTTCCTCTGTGCCTACTGTTCCCCTATTCCTGTTTGCTTACTGTTCCTCTGTTCCTCTGTGCCTACTGATCCCCTGTTTCTCTGTGGCTACTGTTCCTCTGTTCCTACTATTCCTCTGTTCCTCTGTGCCTACTGTTGCTCTGTTGCTCTGTTGCTCTGTTTCTCTGTTCCTCTGTTGCTCTGTTGCTCTGTACCTACTGTTCCTCTGTTCCTACTGTTCCTTTGTTCCTCTGTGCCTACTGTTCGCCTGTTTCTCTGTGCCTACTGTTCCCCTGTTCCTCTGTGCCTACTGTTCCTCTGTTCCTCTGTGCCTACTGTTATCCTGTTCCTCTGTGCTACAATTCCTCTGTTCCTCTGTTCCTACCGTTCTCCTGTTCCTTTGTGCTACAATTACTCTTTTCATCTGCAGTACAATGACGTCAAAATTAGGTTTGTGTTCCTCTTCGTCGAACGCAACCAGTACAACCATCGATCGGTGATGGAGAAGATATGACGTCCTCCAAGGGCTCTTAGAGAACAAAGGAACATGATGAATTATTTCAAGTAAACAAGGGATATTCTTTTGGGATTGATTTGAGAGAACAAGGAATATATCTATTACCTTATTACATGAAATTTTCGCGTAATTGCGGAAATTAAGTGTCGCGAAATATGCGCACCTCAAAATCACGAAATAAACGTGTCGCAAAGCTTTCATGTAATAAGGTATTAAAGGGAACTTTGTCAAAACGTTGTAGGGAACAAAGGAATTTATAAATAGGGAACAAGGGAGGAAAAATGAAATTTTCAAGAGATCGAGGGAACATGCTACCCCCCTCCCCCCTTAGATATACTGCTTGCAGTCTCGTTGATAATTGGTTCAGTCGAAGAAAGTATGTTTTTTGAGAGCTGTTGTTTTCAAAATGAATCAGACTGTCCTAAGAGTTATCTATTTAACAAATTGACGTCAGTTTTTTATGCGTCTGTCTTCTTATTGATGATAAATTGCATAACAACATTGTCAAAGTGGCTGTGGAACCACAAGCCGCAGGCGAGTGGTTCCGCAGTAAACTTTGACAATGTTATGACGAAATTTATCAAGAAAATTATTTGCTTTGCAGACTTGCATGGCCGTAACCATAGTAATTAAATAGAGAAAATTTGTGAGACGATTTAGCAACGGAACTGTACCTACAGAGATCTTAATCATTGTGGTCAGAAAGTAACAAATTCCCTCATCATCGTACCTTTGTTAGGCTTGTTGGTTTGAAATGACCCAGTACATTCGACGAGTCTTGTATGTTAAGTCCTCATGGAGTCCGACATTAACAGTTTGTTAGAGAATAAAAATGCAAGCCAGAATGTACTCTATATATTTATCTATTCGTTATTAAATTATTAAGGGAAAACTTGTTTTTGGTGCAGGGTAATATAATCGTATCGTGGGATGTTTCGGAGCATTGCCTGATTTTAAGCCGAAAAGGACTAGGTGTGAGTCTACAAATTATGGGATGAGCAGCTATTGATCCACATAGTCATAAAGTGCAGACCAAGCTTTACAAAATCCCTAAATTTCGAGCAAATAGACCCAATAGTAAGCAAGATACAACCATTTGAAAACATCAAAATTCGCAAAAAAATGTGTGGCTATGATAACCAAATATTTCTGTGTAATTTTGGCGTTTTTAAATGGCTGCATCTCAGTCAAAACTCGCCTGATTAACACTAAACTTGAGGATTTTGTGAATCTCGGTGTGCTCTTTCTGACTATGGGGATCAATAGTTGCTAATCCCATAATTTACAGACTCGTACCTAGTCCTTTTCGGCTTGAAATCAGGCAATTGGAAAGGGTTGCTTGGTTTTCTATTTTATTACTGATCAATTTATAATTTCCCCTTACATTTTGTCATTATGAAGTTTTGTCTAAGAATGAAAACTTGAGTTATTCATATTCCATTGAGTGCTATCATTTTAGGGATTTTCCAGCTGTATTTACTGTTGCTATGGTTAGTTCGTTTTTGGCGTCAATCGAGATAACGAAATAAAGTTGATGTCTAGTTTTTGGAAACGCTCGTCCTGGAAATAGTCATTTGGGATTCCATGACTCATCAGGATTTTGTTGTGTAATTTTTCGGCCAAACTTTATTCGTTTAGTAGTCCTTTTTGGACCTTGAAATAGGGTTGTTTAATTAAAATTATTCGTATCTCGTTCGCACTTCGCACAAAGGTGCAAGGAAATTAATAGCACTAAGGTGTCCTTTTGAATATGTTTAAGCTCGAGAGTGCGAACAGGTAATGATATGGACTAGGCGGGCTTAAGATTTGAGAAAGGCCAACCCACGAACTTGGGATTGTGCAATTGTTTTGATAGTAACATTTATGTCGCAAGAAATATTTAACAACAACTTTTATCTTTTAACTTAGTATTATCCTCAAGTTTTGGTCAATAAAAACCACGATTGTAACTTTTATATTGTTCACGTTACCTTATTTAGGTCAAACACTTACGAATAGACAGTTAAAATCAAGGTAGAAAATGTTTTAGTCTACCTCGATAACTTCGAAGGAAAATATGCTAAGTACTTAGTGCGCAGTCGCGATGGAACCTTATGCGAATTGCGCATGACATTACGTTAGCATAACTGACAGTTTGACAGTGATCTGATGGATCGTGTGGTTGTCCCTTTAAGGTGGCTCCCTGTAGTTTTAAAATTGCACGCGCACATAGGACGAAAGCTCAAGTAATCTGCGCGCGCCCAAAGGAAAACGTTAGTGTTTTTCGATTTTTATGACGTCAACATGAGGACAAAAAGCAAAACTGACAGTGAATTTCCTCGCGTTGCCTTCGGTGAATTTTTTTTAAATTTGGCTCAGTTGTAACCACAACCAATTCAATTAAAATACCCTATTTTTGTTAAAATCTGTCAGAGCTAATCTAATGTATTTAGAAGAATGACAAATTACAGAATATTGGAAAAACCGTCTGAGCAACCATGACTTTTTACGAATTCAAAATGTCAGGCAATATCATTTTCATGATGTGGCAAATTAAGTATGAAAAATTGTCACCGAAAGAAAGTATAAATATTAAAGAGTTTAGGGCAAAATGAGGAATATATCTGCCTGTCATTAGATGAGATGTTGCCATGGTAACGGCCTTAAACCAAAAATCGACAACCAAAATATAAGCCTTATTTTAACAGTACCCATACTAGTAAATCTCTACAGGGAAATCTCTACAGAGAAATTAACTAACTTTTCTAACTCGCGCTCTATAGGGATGGTGTTCGTAAATACTCCAGGGAGCCACCTTAAAAGGAACGTGACAAGTGAACTCGTGGTTGTTGTTGTAATAGTTGTAATCAGTAAAGAGTGTAAACAGAAAAACGCTGTAACAACTGTCATTGGAAATTAAAGTGAATTAATAGAACAAAAGAGTGTTGAGGTGATCTGCTAGTTTCCCCAAAAGTCTGCTTCAACAAGTTCATGACACATCGGCTGACTGAGCTGTATCTTTATAACAGTTAGATGTTAAGGCGTGGCCAGTCCACGTGCCATTCAACCTGAGGGCAGCATAGAATCTTAAAATTAACCTGACCCAGAAGCTTGTCACCTTCAAAAGGCTCAGTCACGGCGTTTCGAGTTATTTTGTCCACGTACAAAATTATCTTTAAATTAAAGGAAACCTAAAAATGGTAGTTTACTAAGATAGCAAAATACCAGAGAGATAACAATAAATCGTAAAGCAACAAGTTTGGTTAAGATGGAGAAGATTAGCACGGAATACGAATGACGAACTTAGCCTAAAATTTAGCCTAAACTTTTCATGATGCGCAAACCGTGACGTAGCTCCTTTAACTGAACAAAAGTCAAGCAGATGAAGGAAAATTTATATTTACTAAGGCTATATTTAGACATATCGCACAATATGGCTTATCCCAGTTTTCTGTACTACATCTTCGGCAGAGAGGAACCTGGAGGCAAAGTTGTCAACGTGTTGGGTGCAAGAAGCGTGTCATAAGAACAAAGAAAAGCACGAAGACGTCAGACTGAACCTTGCAGCTTAGGATATCTACAACTGAAGAGCACAAGCAATGAATGGAAAGTTACTTTTTGCAGTTACTGCCATGTTAGTTGTGGCCACTGTATATACGGTATTCATACTGTGCATGAATGATACACAGGTACGAGGCTTACAACCCGCTTTAGCGCGAGAGAAAGGTAGGGAAAAATTAAATATAATTTAGTCTAAATTCAAAAACTTCTGAATCAAAACCAGATAACTGAATTAAATGGACGCATTAACGAGAAAGTAAATTTACATGTAAAAGTCATGTTGAGATTGTTGTCTTTTTCAGATACAACAAAAATTCGGAACACATATATGCCTTTTAATTTCCTTTTTCGTGCAAGCTACTTTAAAAAGTCGATATTTACTACTGTTTGACCAGGTGCTTTGCGGTTTAGGTCTATTTGATTTTTATCCGCGATAGAAAATTAGCATCTTTAATTCTTTTTGCTCAATCTTGAATTTATACTCTAAGTAGACAGCATTCACAATACAGATCTCCTTTTAGTTTACAGTTAAACAGGCAGAACACTTCAAATTCAGTGTAGTAGAAAACACCTATACCACCTAGTGAACGAAAAAACGATAACAAATACTAAAATCGGTTCGTTAAATATAAACTGTACCATTTTTAAATAATATTTTTGTTGCCCAGAGGAGGGACGCTTTGACAAACTTAGAGAGCACGAGTCGTCCTTCTTTTCTCTCTCTCCTTGCAAATATTGCGTTGAAAACAGTAAATAAGGAATGGGAGGTTTAAAAACTATTTTCAAAAAGTCGATTAAAGATCGGCCATTATTGTAGTGCAAACATTTGGTTGAGAAAACAGCGATAAATTTTGTTATGTTTGCTCTGTTCTACTAGCAATCGTCGTTGTTACTATGGTTCCCTTACTGTGGTTCGAACTCGCGAGAAATGACAATATCCCGAGCCCGCGGGATATTGTCAACAAAGGGTACTGGTTGGTACTTGTGAGAGGGGACCTTTAGATTTTAACGTTGGAACTTTAAAAAATCTTAATTGTTTACTCTTTCAAACCTACTAACTCCATCACTCTTTCTCTTTCCTTCCCTAATGTCACTAATCGAACCAAATCGAACTTTCGGTTAATCGAATTCAATCGAATCTAATCGAACACCAATCACTTGATTGGGTTCGAATAAGTTCGATTAAGTTCAAACTCTCTGAAAAACTTTCGAGTAATCGAACTCATATAGAATGTTCGATTGCGTTCGATTGGTTTCGATTGAGTTCGATCCGGGTTCGATTAGGTTTGATCGCATTCGATTTGAGGTTATGTGCCGGGTATATGGCATGGTGATTGTAAAACAGCGATAGAGTTTTAATTCGCGGTCGGTGGTATTGCATTCGACTAGAAACGGGGGAGCGCAAGCGGCGAAGTCATAACGCAACGAGCCAGACCAATGCTGTGACTCGAGTCCGAACTGCTCAACTCGTAGTCCAGCGTGTTTACCTCGCCTCTAACTGAACAAAGTAAACATCAACCTCGTTTCCAGGGTCCCTCATCTTCCCGCCCTCCCGAAGCGAGAGATGAGAGACCCTGGGGGCGAGGTTGAGTAAACATCAAAACTGATCTTAAAAGCTTTTGAAACTTTACTCTCGAAACATATGGCCGGGTTTTTAGTCTTCAAGAAACCTCAAAGGACTTGAAAGAATAGAGCTATCCGAAGTGAATTGAAAGCATATATATATATATATTTTTTTTTATATATATATGCGATACAAGTTTGTCTTGTGCTGATGTGATCGACTTGAAGCGACTAAAATTAGAATCACGCAAAATTGGTTTGTGTTCTGTTCTAAGGTTCTCGTGGGACAAGGTACTCTAGAACCAACGATCAAGAGAAATCAGACCAGGATGTCTTTGACGGTGTCCAAACATTTCTGATGTTTATCGGCTACCCTCGCAGTGGTCACACCCTTGTTCGGTCCTTGTTAGACGCTCATCCTAATGTGATCATTGCCAATGAGTTGGATGTAATAAGCAAGTGGCAACAGTGGAGCACTGCCGACAAAAACAAGGATTTCCTGTTTAACCAGCTATACCTGAACTCCATAAAGACGGCTTCAGTCCAACACCGCTATAGTTACTCCGTACCAGGACAGTGGCAAGGAAAATACAATAACAATATTTTGGTGATTATCTCATTCTTGTTACGTTAGTTTGTTATATAAATGTGTAACTCCACAAATTTGCTAGGGCTGGTTTTCTTGACCATGTTTTAATGTTTTATCCGTTTGTTTCACAACTTTTTCACATCTCGACAAGAACGACGCCAATATCATTGCATGCACTTTCAGTCAAAGCCTCTACCTATTTAAGTGTGTTCCTCGACGTGGATTCACCACCACAGAGTCTTCAGTACAATCAAAAATACTTGTGCTCGCCTGAAGCCAACCCGCAGCTTTGTTCAAGGACATCTTCAATAAGACAGCTGACCCGGTTTGGCAACACGAATTTGTATCGCATTTCAATAGAATAATTTCGTTCAACACTTGAGAAGTTTCCAATGCGAATTTGCCATCAGATTGTGCTGGTGATGTTCACATCAGTATACCTGATACAAAACTTAGACTACGGTAGCCTAGAGGACCCTAGAGAAATCGTTCATGTGGAAAACCATCGTCTCCACCCTGTGTGGCTAAATCCCTTAATAATATTAAACATATATATTAACAGGTTATAGGTGACAAGAAAGGTGGAAAAACAACTAATCAACTCAAGAAATTAAGCAACGTGAACGCGTTGGAGGAAATAAAACAAGTGGTTGAGATGCCCATGAAATTTCTCCATGTCGTCCGGAATCCTTACGATAACATTGCTACGATGTTGGTCAAAGCGTTAAAAAAACGTGATGACACTGATAGTGGGAAGAAGGTAACGATTTGCTTGTAAAGTATTTATTTAAGTTTGTCTATGAAATTGTTTAATGCGAATATTTGACAAGAATGATCAGCCCCAACCTCGTCCCCAGTTTCTATTAGGCGTGTCCGCCATCTTGGATTTGGATTTGAAAAACGACGCCCTGATGACGCTGAAACAAGGCTATGACGTAGCACAGTTCCGTATTTTGCTGTACAACAGAGAAATGTCACTAGTTTCTGAGAACATGGCCGATCAAAATAAATCACATGTTCCTTTGAAACTTTGAAAGTTGCTTCACGTACGTAACTTTTTAGACTCTATATTTTTAAAATAGACAACTTAGTGGCACATGTTCATTGCACTCTACTCATGGCATCTGATTTTTTTTTTTTTCAGATTAATGACCCTTCCAATTTAGACAAAGAGATTAACAAGTATTTCATTTTAGCAGAGAGAAACAATCAACTCAAGAAGAGTCTTCCCGGCGAAGTTTGCGAGGTCCACAGCGCAGAACTGATCAAACAACCAAGAAAAACCCTGCTGGGAATTTGTCAGTTTTTGCATCTTACTTGTGAGCAGCGCTATATTGAAGACTGTTCCAAGATTATATTCCCCGAGGCTAAAAAAACGCGTTACAATGTAGTATGGACAGCTAAACAAAAGGACTTGGTGAGAGAAAAACTGCAGAGAGTTCCATTCTTGCAAAACTATAGCTTTGAAGATTGAAACGATTTCAGTGTCGTAAAATTGATTTTTGAAAGACTTGAACCTGTAGAGGGTCTATTATACTCTGGCGGTTTGGCGGTTTAAGCCAATTTTGAGTGCCGGTTTTGTCTCGAAGTTTTTCGGTTTTTGCGTGTTTTGTTACGATTATTCAATTAAAAGAGAGCCCTCTAAAGAGAGCCCTCAAAACTAATACTTTTACGCGTCGTAATAAACATCTCAAGCATTTGTGAACAACCTATTAGATGTCAAAACGTTTTGTTCGCTGGTTCCGGAATGGAGTTAAAAGCAATTTGATGTTAGATCTAGCATTTCGTTAAGAATTTGTTACATACTGCTAAAAGATCGGTTATGATGATAATCGCCCTTCTAGTAGGGCGGTTTCGGTTTTTAGGAGAAAATGAAAGCGGTCTGCGAGTTCGAAGGAACAAAATATGGCGGTTTGAGGAATGTACGACCCCTTAATTATTAATAATAGACCCTCAACCTATGCAATTCTGTGAAATACCTTTGACTTGTATCGAAACATAACATGGATCTATAGTGAGTTTGGTCGTCAGCAAGAGTTCTTGTAGCCTGCGTTGCAGGCGTAAACGCGGACGGGTTAGGAGAGAGGCAAAGGCAAGGAACACTCACTGTCCCTCTCTCCCACGCTTTCTCCTTTTATCCCTACTCTTTCTTCCGCTCTCCTTCTACCTTCTGCCGTTTTACACATGCTACGCAGGCAAGGGTTTTTGCTGCCTGCCTAAGACGTCCTTATTATTTATCAGTGCAAAATCAAGTTACTCACGCTTCGACAGGATAAGACGCTATTTGTAGGTTTTTTTTATGAGGTAGTTTCAGCTGGGTAGAGTCCCACAACTAAATAAAATCGAGAGAAAAATTAAATTCTGAAAATTAAGCAATAGCTAGCAACTGCGACCACTATCAGAAAAGTTTGCTTACACTCCAGTTAGCCTGTTTACGCCGGATTAGCGCTCGGTAATGGTTATTGTTCGTTTAAAGACGACTTTTTTCCAAAATAAGACATACATACACACATACCCACTTTATTTAGACACGGTAAAAACATCAGTTACAAGATTGAGATATATTAAATAAAAAAGAAAAAAAACTGATTTACATGTTTGCTGCGTGTGAGTAGGAGTAGGACAGTTGGCGATTTAACTCGTATCTCAAGTTAATAAAAGATCTAATGGCTCTGACGTTAGATGGAACGCTACTCAACAAATGTGCCCCACTGTAGCAGAAACTACGTTTCAAAAAAATCGGTACGGGGCTTAGGCTCAGCCAATTTGTTTTCACTATTTCTAAGTCCATACTCCGCTGCGCGTCGTATTTTCAACTCTCTTCTCGGTGTTTGGATATGAAACACTGTCTCTCGTGTTTGATATATTACTTCCCAATGGGAAGTACCATATTTTTTTCTCGAAATTGACCTTTCATGTAAATAAAACGTTTAACAGAGGAGGTAAGTCTCTGCAGTTATAAAATGCTAATGAGGTAAACTTTTGTCAGACTGTACAGTGAAACCTGAATTAGTTGGACACTCTCAGGACCCAAGCTAGTGTCCGCTTAACCAGGGTGTCCGCTGAAAACAGGTTCTCTCAGAATTCGTCTCAAAAGGCAGGAGTGCTCAACGGGAAAAATTTTAAAATTGACTTGTTGTTGCTCGAAAGTATTAATTGACATCCAATAAGAGATAAATAGTTAATAATTAACAACCATGGGAAAATAATATCCGCTCCGCACCGCCAGCTAGTAGAAGATACCTAAATGAAGTTGCCAGCCAGGAAC